ACGTATTAAGAGACAAGCGGTTGTGATACAAATAAATGAGTTCCACTGGACTAGTGAAAAACCTTATGCCTAGGAGTTTGCACACTGTATAAGTTCGGGACAAAACAATCCTGAACTGACCGGGTGGGACGGCAAATTATTTCACCCAGTTAAATGTGTATTATACCAATGCTCTCAGTCTACTAAGGGGTGACGAAAACAGAAAACTGTGATGTCGCTGCTATCTCAGAAACGTGGTTAAATTCAGAAGTGTATGGTAGCGAAATTCAATTGCTTGAGGCTTTAGTTTGTTGGGCTGACAGACTAAACCATTAAAGTTTTGGTTATCCCCAACACGAAGAGCACCTTAAACGTACGAGCTGTAGATAAGAATATACGACTAAGGGACAGGTGAACTAGTGTGTTGCTGGCTGAAATACAAAGGGAAAGACATTGAATTGGTTATGATATAGTGTAGTCCAGAATGTGAAGCTGATAACTCCTTCCTAAACAAACTTTTAGGGTCAGGGAAATGTCTCTGGTCTTTGGCCAAATAATTTAGGAGTCGCATCAGGGAACATCGAACAGTTCGCGGATCCGTGTCAAGCACGAGGACAATCAATGCGCATATTCGTAAGAAGTAGGTGGGCCTACAGATTAGCTAACCGTGTTGTATCTGGAATTTTTGAGTATTTTCCCTAAGCTTTGTGTTAGAACTGAACTTGAGAACTGGGTTTATATAACACGGTAATGCTTATTACAAAATACTAAGATCCTACGGACTCTGGTGATTCCAGATCAGTCTGCAATAGGTTGATGGATATGTTTATTTACTTACCTATAGTGTCTAGTCGAATATCGATTTTATAATAAAGTGAGATCACAAATGCATACCACGGTTAACTAATAACATTCAAACAGGTTGAAGTGGTTACTTAAATGAGACTAAAGGAAGTAAAGGTCCTTAAAAGTTTTGTTTCCAGCGCGGATAGCGCCCATAAACCGAAGAGAAAACAGAAACAAAGGTCTGGCCATAAAAAATGTATGGAAGAATCCTTTTTAATACGCGTTAGCAAGCTTTATTGTTGGAACCATAGTCAATCAAAACAGTAACTTGAAATTCAGCAAAAAAAATCAAGGGCAATTTTTAGACAATAAATAAATGTTTCACGACTATCAAAGCTTGAAAATGTAAGGCCAAGTAAACACTCTACTATGGAAAACCAACAACGTGTTAAAAAACTAGATAAATGTAGTGTGAATAGACTAATTGGGTCGTTCGAAAAATTAATTGTTAAATTATAGACGAAGTGAAACGGTAAAGAGAGAAATAGTTCGCACAATGTCTTATTGGGATTGTGAAATGTCCTGGGTGCCACCATTTGCTCTAGAATATGTGTATTTTGTCTAATGTGGCGAGCGAGAATTTAAAAACGTCTGTTGTGTAATTTTAGCCAACTAATCAGGTATTTTAGAGGATGATGAAGAGCTCTCAGGATTCTGTGTGCCATTAAAAAGTAGTTTTTAAGTTTACTGTTCTCTAAACTGTACAGATCCGGTAATTTAAGGGGCTTCTCGTAAGACTTGAACTCAATTTGACGATGTGATTTCGTGACCTACCTTTGGATACACTGTGAATATTTGTAGAATTATGACCTAGTGCGATATCAGTACATTTGTCTTTGCTACTACAATAATAAACCCATCTGTTTGAGCTTATTGATAAAACAAATATGGTTGGCTATATCAAAATCTTTCGAGAAACCAAGGTGCATTATGTTTACTTTATCTTTACGATTGAGAATAGTGGTTCATCTAGTACTTTAGTTAGAAGATTCGTGATATCGGAGTTCGTAAAATGAAACTTATGGACAACAGACAATCGATTGAACCTCTGTTGAGGTTGGTAGGATTGTGTGCAAGTGTTACGAATAGAGAACTAAACCATCAGCTACAGCGTTTGACAAAATAAGAAAACAAAACTTAACAGTTCTACAGAACACTAATATTTCAGAATCACTTCGAATTTTTCCCTTAACGCTGAATGTAAGTAACGACTGCTAGCCTACCGATGTCATTATTTCAGCAATACGGTTAAACAATGGTGTCTTTGGATGTCACTGAAAAATGACGTGCGTAATTCCATTTGATACTTCCTCCAAATGTTTTTCAGCCACAATTTACGTAACTTCAGATAGGGTAATCGACACAACCGACTTCAAATAAGGTGGATATTTGTCTCTGAAGCATGTCATTCTGATTTGAATAGACAAAACCATCATTCTCAATATCGTAACTCCTTGACAGTCCTCGTAAGCTGGAGACCACACTGCCTTGAAGGTTTTTGGAAGAGAAGTTACAGAGCTGTAGCTTTAAGGATTAACCTGTTGAACTTCCCCATTGATCAGGGTGATGTGCCCAATCTTCCACTCGTCTAGGATATGATAATGGTTTGGGGAACGAAGGATAACAAACCAAGGGGTGTTGTCTCAAATGAGGTCGCTTCTCTAAGCATAGTGGAGTGAGTCATCTCCGGTTAATGTGATGTGTTTCTGTTTAAATGTCTCACATCGTGGTGTACTAATTCAAAATTTAGGCACAATTTTCAAATTGTTATCGAGCTTCAGTACATCCCATCACTGATTTTAATTTCAGGACGATTGGGATGTTTGAAAGTACTGTTCTTTTAGGATCCTTCAAGTAATTGGTTGAGCTGCGAGGACGACTGGGCAACCTTGACTTCGAATTAAGGAAATGAGGTTATATGAAAGAACGAACATTTCGGACAAGATAAAAACTTGTTAACCAGCCAAATCTGGTACTGGCACTTATTTTCATTTGGGGACTCTGTGGAAATGGCCCTGACTCGTTATAACTGCATATATTTACTTTTTGCTAATTCGTCTGAATTACTTTCACTAGTATCTTACCACTCATAGCGTTTGATTCTGTATGACTTTGGGTTGCTTGAAGCTTATGGTGATCAATTTCGAGGCAGACCGATTTGCAGCAGCACATAGAATCGTCTGCGGTGGTAATTCGGCGTCATCAATTGCGAACTTGTAGATTACCACCGTGCGTGAGCTTCGTCGAATGGCTGGAGGCCTAATGGAGCCAGACGGGAATGACGTGACCGTTCAGCTCACGTTTAAGTCACACCCCACACGTACTACCTAATGTGGACGACGCTTGCGTCGTGTTAAGGTACTATAACCAATTTGATGACCGTACAACGCAGACGATGATATTACAATGACACATTAGTAGGAAGAGGTCCAGGGAGCAGAGTGAGACTAACATCACGTGGAGGAATCCATGAGATGCAATTAGTTGAAGTGCACTGGTTGTTACTGACTTTGAAGTAGATCGGTAAGGTGTATGATATTCAATGACCTGACTGCTGGATGATTTGGCAAGGGTTATAAAATTTCACTGATCTTACAAATTATCCATCATGGCTGCGACTTCCGAAATTTTGAATTTTCAAATCCTGTCATCAGCAGGATACGTTACTCCAGTTTGATAAATAAAGAACTAGGAAGTCGTTTTCATCATTTCCTAAGGAAGTTAGAACCGAGAGGTTATCGGTCGGTAACTGTTCGTCAATGAAGACGCCAGTTAGATCTGGCGGGTTTGGCTATTTCGCCATGGAGTTGCTGAGTGATATTTTGAAGCAACCATAGCTCTCTGACGGGGCCAAGGAAATGAGTTTTAGTGAAGTCATCCTCTTCACTGTTGACATTGGGGGTAATGGAGTCTCCCATGATTAAGATGTGAGCGCGTCGTAGAGTGATACTTCCAGTGTTCGAGTATTGCACTGAATGTTGGCAGTAGGCCTTCTACATGCAACTACAACCAGACACCTTGTATTGCTAGGTGATCTCGCTGAGCACCATAGGGATTCTTCAAGAGTAGCACACTATCGAATATGCATTTGGTGTGCTTCTAAATAAGAATGTATGTGTATGTAGCTGTTTTCTTGACGTTGGGACATATATACACGCCTGATTTTAATGACCTTCGGTTCATAACTTGAGACACCTAAACACCTGCTTCTACTTTAGTTATGCGTTTTCTGCATTATTTGATTCATGAAACCTAACCATTTCATTAGTCAAAGATTTAGAGTCCGTATGTAGTCAGTCATAAATTTTTATCCGAAATGCATTAATGTCCTTGAACTTATTGCCTGACTAATCTAAATATGCCACAGGTATTCGGAGCTTGACAAAGCCTTTACATCCAACACGTTTATAATCAACGCATGTCAACCCAATCAAATCTCGAGTCAGAAGTGAAGAGGTTCGAAGATATGTTTGAAAGGCTGTCGATATATCGAGGAGCGTTTAATATAAACTGGCTAACGGTTATATGAGATGTGTAGCACGGCGCACCCATTCGTGATCTAGCGCAGATGTGTGACCGAGCCCCTTCAGCTAGACGTGTTAGTTAAAACTTATGAGGTCAGCATCAAGTGTCGAAGTACTACAGAACCATTGAATTTAGTGATTTATCTCCTGCTTCAGCTAACTCCCACCTGGTGGAGTAGCGATTACCCTAAAACATGGCAAGCCAGAAGTTTTAGACCAACAAGTTTGCCGCTGACAGCTTGCTATGTTTGACAGCATCTGGTTGTCTGTCCCCAACGTAAGGAGTCATATGGTACAACATAACAATGAAATAAAATGCAATGAAAGTTTCTACTCATCGTAATCTTCATTAGTTTTTCATATTTCCAGCCGTCGTGAAAAAGAAAAAAAGAAACCGTAAGTGCATGTCGAAATACACTCGTACATGCATAAGGATTTATTTGCTACTTCCAGTGTGATTACATATAAAATATCAAACAAAGGGATATGGTATTGAATCGTTATAAACGGTTAGTAAAGCTCCTAAATTTACGTGTTAATGTGTAGATTCAATAGTATAATCCAAGAGATATGAAGTAAGGCGTGTAAGAGAAAGATTGATGATGGCCTCCGGTGTTCTGTTCTCAGAGCTTGTAATATAAATCATTGAATATTCTCGGCCTTCCGAAACGCGCGCTCTTGTCGAGTGTGCTCGACGTCTTCAGAAATTTAGGATGGCTAGCCCAAGGACACGGCGAGTGCTAATGGATGTCAAGAAAACTAATGCGAACCATGTATGTCATTGTTTGCCTTTATGTGGAAGAATGACTGTCGTTTCCATTTTTTTCTTGCTGACTTAGTATCCGTGTCTCATTTCCAGTGCGGCCAAATGATCGACATTAAGTTAATGAGGTGGAGAACAATGTTTTATTCTATTTTTAAACGTTGTACCTTGTACTTTACACTAACTCATATCTGATCGGCCACAAAGAGGTGAACTAGATCTATGGAGAAGAAGCTGGACCTTCACTGGAAAGCAAACTGTAAGGATCAACACTAGTTGACCAACCTGTTATCCTTATTACTGAAGACTGAAATCAGAAAACCTTACTGAAGTACTAGTGTAGCGATCTGCGTATAGCCAGAGGGTACTTTATGTACTAGAGTAGCGTAAGTGAGGAGGGCTGGGAACGAGAACAAAAGAAAAGGTAAGTTGACGACCCAGCAAGCGCACACAATTCACTTGTATTTAGTAACGAGGTCAGTCGATGACAATCAGAAGTAGCGCATACCTCGAATTAGGTCAATCTTGGGATCGAAACTGGGATCATGTAGTTTAACCGACTACTACTCTGCAGTGGTCTGAATTATATATATATATATATATATATATATATATATATATATATATATATATATATATATATATATATATATATATAAACTAGTCAAGTACACTTTTCCAACTGTCCTTTCAAGTTGATCATCCCGTCAGGAAAATGGTTCACAATAAAAAGTGTCATGTCTGTAAAATATTTAACAGCAATATTTCTACCTTGGGGTTTCGCTGATTTTCAAACCTTACTCTGGGAATGTAGTAGTACTTGCTACCTATTAATGTTCATCAAGCCGTAGTCGTATGAGGTATTATATTGCTGCATAAATTCTTTAAAGATGTCTAATGTCGGCTATCAGCTTTATTTCCGAATGTAAACATTTAAGTATATTCACAGTTGTATTGCTTGCATCCAGGTCTAAAAAAATGAGTACTGGACAAAGTTTTACCTGGACAGTCATGATTTCAAGATATATCCTATTAAACTACAGGTTTTATAATCAGTATTTATTTTCATTTGTAGTTATGTTTCGAATGTGGGTCGCCAAATCCTCAATGGGCTAGCGTTACATATGGTATTTGGATATGTTTAGAGTGTTCAGGAAAACATCGTGGATTGGGGGTTCATTTGAGGTAAGGCGTTTCGTAATAAGTATTGTTCGGTTATTCTAAAACCTTTGCTCTGGTTTTCTATCCTTGTCTCTGTGAGAACTGGTTAGTTATCACAGTGTTAAAATAATGAGATAGTTGTCTATACGGTTTCACAACAACCTTCGTAATTGCCAGATCTATTAGTCTCTGCAAGCGAATTTCTTGAGGTACATTTTTTGAAACCAGTTAGTAGTGGTTCTACGACATAAAAAAACTGGTAGAAATTAGTTTGTATCGTTATTGAAGAAATATTTTTCGGTCTTTCTTTAACATGTTAAGTAGTGTTTAATGTAGTTTTATTTTTGTATTATTCTCATAATCAGTTTTGTTCGCTCAATTAACATGGATAAATGGAAGGAGTTGGAGTTGGAAAAAATGAAAGTTGGAGGCAACAGACATGCTAAGGAGTTTTTCGTTTCACAACCTGATTACAGACCTCAGTGGAGTTTTCAAGAAAAGTATAATAGTAAAGCTGCTGCTTTGTTGAGAGATAAGGTTAGTACAGTTTAGTCATTATTTTGGTTAACCAGTGACCAAGGTATTCATTACTCAGTAATTACATTATAATTACATTCATTTAATCCACTGTGGTCTTCCAGTGGGTTGTTTGTTGGACTTGTGTAGGAGTTAATATAGTATCTTTTCTCCCAAACAACTGGTAGAGCAAGATTCTGTTTTGTACCTCTGGCTGTACGTTTGGTGCTTAAATCACAAGTTTCAGATTTACGTTCTTGCCCAATAATAGTGGATTACAGCGAATTGTGTTGCGTATAACTAACCCCCACCTACCTTGACGCTTAGTGATAATTAGGGTAGGAGTATATTAAAAGTTGGAAGCAGCCACATCAAGATGTAACATTAGCCTATAAAGTTTTTGAATTTTTTGTCTGAGTCATATTGGTATGTGTAGGCTACCAGGTCAAATTCTATGCAATAATCGTGGTCGGTGTTTGTAGATCCTGGATGAAATGGCTTTAAATCTGATCACAGTAGCTCAAATGCATTTATTTTTCACATTTCTCTAATTCTTGGGCTTTGATAGTATTCTATAATTTTTAGTATTTTCCACTTTCTTTCTGACTCATATTCCTTATGTTAAGACCTGTATATTATCATTGATATTGATGTTATTGTGACTCCTTTGATATTCGTTTCGCTAATCACTTGTTATGCTGATTTGATATAGTAACTTGTGCTGAGGTTCGTTTGTGACAGGTTCTACATTGACCATAACGGAACGAATGACGTACAACCCACCATATATGTACATCATTGACTTGTTGCTATGTTATATATAATGAAATTTGATTAAAATAACTGTCCACTAATTTCTCAGCGTTATAGATTAATTCATTTAATTCCACTGCTTACTAACATTCTTAAGACACGGAATTGTCCTTGTAAACTACTCTAGAAATATTTGGTCAGTACTTATTGATATTAGGAATATCTTTTACACTTTGTTTGTTAAGTCGGTTGTGAAGACTTCTGCACAACATGAAGTTCAAGTAAATTTGAACTTCAAGTAAAGCATCTCAATCACCACGATTGAAGGTGATAAAGATTTGTCATTCAATAAATGTGATCTTGAAAGTGTTTTGTATTTATAATTTAAATTTACTAAAACCTTTTTGTCTTACAAGATAGCATTCATACAGATATTGGGTGAAAATGTATTTTCCACGAATAATTTGTTGATACCTTAACTTTATGTGTTCCGTTGTATTTAGTTGCTTTTCTTTATTGAAAACTAAACAGCTAGTAGCTCACTTCTTCTTCAAGTATGTGATAATGATGTCTGAAAAGACAATAAAAACTTCACGATTAAACCACCCAGGTCAGATAACACATAACTCCCAAAATCCTCCTTCAGGGCTACAAATCTTGTCAATTCTTGTTGAATGGTAGATTTAACTGGAATTTTAACAGTACACTCGTCAACTGTGGGCTAATTTTGAAAATTAAGCTTGAAAAGTTTGGAAGTGTTCTTTTACCGATATTTCCTCATAAAATTTCTGTGTAGTGTAGACTATCAAGAAATTTAAGTTCAATTAATGCAGAGTTGAAAATAATCTTTGTATCTTTCGTCCGACTATTTAAGAATAATTTTACGGGTTTAAACATCACAACTTAACTTAGCCTTTTGTGATTTATAATTAATAGACCTTTAGCAGTCGTCTGATTAATGGATAAAATGTACCAATCGCCTGATAATATGCAATAATACAATATGTCCAAGTGATAACTGCTTACGTGACAGGATTGCTTAAGCAAGCCTTTAAATGGACTCATATTCGATTATAAGACAGCTGACTGGTAGAAAAGGTCTTTTTCCAAAAAATAACACGCTCATTCCGTACCTATTTATGTTTATTTCTTGGATATGTAACTCAGGGATCCAGAAACGATTTTAATCCATTGGGTTACGAATCTCAGTTATGTTCCACCTACTTTTAGTTTGTGCAGCTTAGTGTGATCTCTTACCCTTATCTGTTAAGTGTGACTCAGCATGGAGCACACGTGAGCACACTAATCTGCTTTGGTCATTTTTTTATTGTTACAGATTGCAACTGAAGCGTCTGGTGAGGATTGGGACGAAGAAGCTGCTAATATACGTAATAATAAACCTACCAGTATAAGTCATGTAAAAACAACCGGTGATCTACCATCTTTATCCTCAGATAAACGAAACTTTCATAATCATAATGATTATCAAACCCCTGACTATTATCCTGAATCAAACAAAATGACCAGTTGCCATTCAGATTTGGAATCCTGGTTAAGGGATCCAAACTTATCCGAGGAGCATGATTCATCTACAACACCAGCAACGAAAACAACAACTACTTCTGCCAATGCACGTTATGATAAGGTTCCAGATTGGGCTGAGTATGTCAATTTTCAATCCCTGTAGTTGCTATGTTTACACTTTGTTTAAGCACACGATAGTTGTTCAGTTTGTATTACTATATGCTCCAGTTGTGAATCGAATAATGCTTATTAGTTAAAGTGTTTAGTTTTGTTAGTCAACTTAGAGACTGAATAGTTCTAGGTATCTTGTTGCATAAATTTTCGTAATTCCGTAATAATAAATGTTTTGCAGTCTTTCCAATTATCAGCGTAACATCATGGTATTTCGTGTTTAGTCGAAAAATTCGTCTTTGATTTTTGTATCGAAGATATTTTTTGAATGAAGTTTGGAGGTGTTTTTTTCTCTATCAGGTCTGTGATAAGTTTCAATCCTATGCATTCCACGTGTCTTTTTAGAAATTTCGTTTAAGGATCCACACGTAACCTATCTTTTTCTCATTTTATTAGACCTGACAATTAAATTTGATGTCGATTGTTGACAGCAGCATAAATAAAATCGACCTATCTATAGTGAAAATTGACGTCTTATAATAGTCTGTGTCCTTTTTAGCATTGTAACGACAAATCCAGATGCAAAAGGTCAGATACATACAATGTGTTGGTGAGACTAGTTTTGCTTTTTACTTGTGAGACCTAAGAACAATATTATTACCACACTAGCTTCAATTTAATATTCAAACTCAACTCACTATTAATCAAAACTTTCATAACTTCTTCCTATGCAACGCTAACATTTATCGTTTAATAATACTAAGTTTTAAAAATGATATCATTAGTTATGTTTGTCTTGACACGGATAATAAAATGCCACCTAGTTGTGGGATAATTACCTTTTTTCCTAATAATGATCTATAATAATCGAGTTAGTGTTAGTGTAGATCCAATTTTTAACATGGTCACATTCACACAAATTTTGTTCCTGATTATGCCGTTTCTTGTGGCATTTCCGTCACTGGAAGAACCAAAGGACGGTTTCATAGAATATGATTGAGCAACTTTTTGCCATTCTGAGATTCATGATTCTCATTTTTGTAAGAATCAGGAACCTTATGCAAAGTTCGTCTGCCTCATAAGTAGTCACAACAGTAACTTACTTACGCCTGTTACCCTTAGTGGAGGAGCATAGATCGCCCATCCAACCTTGTCCTGGGCAATCCTATCCAATTGCTGTTCATCTTTTTTATGTCTGCTTCCGATTCTCGACGCAGTGTATTCTTCGGCCTTCCTCTTTTCTGTTTCCCTTCAGCATTCCAAGTTAGCGCTTTCTTCGTGATGCAGTTTGCTGATTTTCGTAATGTATATCCTTTCCTTTTTCTAATTTTCTCTTCATCTGGAAGCTGGTTTGTTCTCTTGACTTTCGTATTGAAGATTCTGACCTTGATATTGGTTGACAGTTGTTTTGAGTTCCATATGTTCTTCAATTGTAGGAATGCGGCCCTTGCTTTACCAGTCCTCACCTTTACGTCTGCATCGGATCCTCCTTGTTCATCAATGATGCTTCCCAGGTACATGAAAGATTCCACATCTTGCAGAGCTTCTCCACCAAATGTGGTTGGGCTGGTGCTCGCTGTGCTGTATTTGAGAATCTTGCTTTTTCCTTTGTGTATGATGAGGCCTACTGATGCAGATGCTGATGCTACATTAGTTGTCTTCATCTGCATTTGTTTGTGTGTATGAGATAGAGAGGGGCCAGGTCATCTGCGAAGTCCAAATCTTCTGACTGATTGTGAGCTGTCCATTGTATTGCATGCTTTTTCTCATATGTGGAGGTCTTCATAATCCACTCGACCACCAGAAGAAAGAGGAAGAAGAGTCGGCAAACTTGTCTCACTCCGGTCTTTATTTGGAATGCATCTGTCAACTGTCCTTCATGCACGACTTTGAAATGTAATCCATCGTATGAATTCTGTATGATGTCGACGATTTTCTCAGGTACTGCATAGCACCGAAGACGTTTCCATAATATTCCCCTATCCATACTGTCAAACGCCTCATAGTCAATGAAGTTGATGTATAGTGACGAGTCCCACTCAACTGATTGTTCGACGATGATCCATAGTGTCGCGATTTGGTCTACACGACGAACCCTTACGGAATCTAGCTTGTTGATCTCGAAATTGGGCGTCTGCTGAGTCTTTCATCCGGTTCAGCAGCACTGTTTAACTTTTCTTGGTTTTGACACACAACAGTAGGAATAAGCAAAAATCAGCCTCAGCGAAGGAAGTCGAGCAATTTTATAAGGTTGCTTTTTACAGGGCTTCATGGGATTGTAAACGCCAAAGTGGCTGATCGATATTGAACTGTTGTTCGAGAGTATATCCATCCCAATCATAAATGCGATTCCTCTGCCTACGAAAACAGTTCATGGATTTTTTGTGCAGTTCCTTTTTATGCGATGTGTATATCAAATCCATTTATAATTTTCAGTAGAGGTAAATACCGGAAAACGTGAGCATCTGTCTTCTGATCATTGCTGAAATATCTTTACTATGCTTCCTGATGACACTTGAATTGCGTTTCCATCTTGTTTCTTCTTCCGATGTTTGACTATTTTGTTTTTGCGGTGTCTAGAGCTAAAACAGAAGCGGAAAAAGTGTTTATTAATTGTGGTACATCAGAGTTACTAGATGTGGAGATATCATCGAAACACATTGTATCAGTATTACTAGGCTTGAAATTTTCATAAGAATATAGTGTTATGGAAGAGGCTTTTAACAATTAATGAGGCAGAATTTCAATAGTTAAAATCACTGCGTAGAGTGGTTATTTATAGATGAACACGATGATATGATATGTGATCGAGTGATAGATGGAATGGAGATGGATAGGTGGATGGTAGTGTTGGTGTTTTCTGAAATAATTCATCTGTAATTGATTTAAAGCGTTGTTGGTACCGATTAGAAATCAATGCCAAAAACATTTTTGCCATATGATCACTGTATCCTTCTAAACAGTTGAAAAAATGCAATGGAACCTTTCATAAAATGTCTGATATTGGATAAATACCTCTCAGTCATTTGATTTATTAGTCAGAATAGGTTGAGATCTCTGATACAAGTGCTCAAATCAATCTAGATTGTTGCAATTCACACCATCATACGAAAAGGAGGAATCAATAAGTTACATAGTGGTTAAACAATCTTTATAAGAATCAGTGTAAATGTCGAAGTTTTGGTATATTTCTTTAGTTTTTTATCTATATATATATATTTTTTACTTTTGAACTGTGCAACTTTTGATATGAATATTGTGTTAAATTAGTGTTACTAAGATTAAAATAAAGTGCTATGGTGAAAAAGTGCTTAAAACGAAGTATCTTTCTTTATTTGTCTTATGTCAATTCCATTTCCTAAATATCTTATTGATTTTATTGTATTTTAGCTCTAAATTTATGGATGATAATGGTAAATATACGAATTCTTCGTCTAGGCATTATTCATTAGTACCCGAACGAAATGATAAATATTCATGGCAGTCAGTAAGTTGTTTGTGCATTTCATCATTAATCTTGTATTAACTCATTTATGAAGCCCAATTTTCTGATACTAAGCTATGATCATCACTTCAGATGTGACCTAGGATGCATGAATGACAGTTCTGTTTAGTATTGATGATGACAAAATGCAAAATCTTCTAATCGCATTGAACAACAATGCCAGTGCAGTGCGTTTGTCTTAAAATGCAAAATGTCCTCTCTAGGACCGATCTGTATCAACGCCTCAACTACTAGGGTTCGGGTGTAAAGTAGTTAGGCTCATCGACTATGTCACTTATCTTGAAAGTTTTGTTAGCCCTGGTGGATCGATGTCACGGGAAATCGGGACACGAGATATTTATTTGGCAACCAAAGGACGAGTCTATTGGTCAGCAGTTCGCTCTGTTCTAGTTTATGTCTACGAAACGTGATCTTTTTAAAAAAATAAAGGATAGTTTACCAACATTTGGTCATATATGCTTTCAAAACATCGCTTGTGTATGGAGACCATCAATTGTACGACATTGAAATTAAGCAGAAGATGCTAGATAAAGGTGGAAAATTGGTTGGTGAGGCTACAAATCACTATTGGCTAAGATAGCCGGGACATATATTACGTATGTGCAACATTTGTTCTGTAGGAGTAATTTAGAAGGAAGCTTAGTGGGAGCCGAACCAAGGTGTGACATCAGTCTATGAAGTCATTGATTATAAGAGTCAGCTGTGTTGGTAGGTGCAAACTACCTGGTTATGGTCTACGTGTCTATCGTGACCAATAGTTAGGGACTTTGGGTAACATTACTCAAAGTCGGTCACAATAATGAGAATGCATTTGCTCGTTATTTACCTATTAATCCTGAATTTCAAAATTGTTTTGTACTACTTTCCCTCTAAGCAATTCATTATTCTAAAATCATATCGTTTATGCCTAATGTTTCCTACTGTCACTGATACTGTCGCTACTTCTACTACTTTGATATTTGTTTTGAAAAATTAATTTCACTGTGCTTAAGTGGTGGGGCATTTCGATTGATAAGCATGTGTATACCAGGCTCTACGTTGGTGGTAACCGGCTGACTGACTTCAACTAGATTTATCTCCATTGTTTATTAACAATGTAAGTAAATGCATATAACTAATGTGTCGTTCTTACACAGATTCCTAACTCCAATGACCGAGTTTTGTGTAAAAATCCTGAAACCAAAAGGCGAAATCTGTCTATTATGGAGGGTGGAATGGGCATTGAAAATTTACACACACCAGATTATTAGATATTTGGGTATAGTCTATGTCGTAAAGAGTACAATTAAAGATGAGTCTAAGAAATTGAAAATGCTCTACAACGTCATCAATTTTCGAAGATAATGGTTTATGTTTAAAAAATAATAGACACAGTTCATGATAAAAATCGTATCACAAAGTATAAGTAGTAAGAAGAAAAACAATGTTATCATAATTCAAATTATACATCAAATTGCTGATACAGAAAGATAAATGATTTGTTGTAACAAAACAATAACATTCACTTTAATAATTCAGCCTTAGAAACCAAGTCACGTAGTCTAGACTACTTATTACCGTCAAGTAGTCCGACGTAATATCTAAAAGATACACTGGAGACTAATTATTAATTTTAAGTTGTTGCGTTACTTTTTTAAATTGTGATGTTGTTTTGAAAGCCGTCATTTCTGATTCCTTCGTTTTATTTACTTCGTTTTCACGTACTACTATAATATGCTAGTTCATGTTTGTTGTTTTCTACAATTTTTTCTCACTGATTTGTGTTGAAAGTCATTATTTTGTTTTATAGTTCACATTATGAACTGATCTTAATCAGTCTCCTATTAAAAATCAAGAAACAATGGTTAAGTGCTTCGTCCTAGTATGGGCATTCTCAGCTATGGACATCCACGACCTCATTAGGTGTCAAACCCGAGACCCTTATTATGAGCACTTCACCTTGGGACCATTCAGTTGGAATCCAGTTGTTTACATGTTTACTTTTTCAGTACCATTAGTGGGTAACTGCCTCCAACCCTCACCCTCTCCATTGTTCACAGCATCTCACTAGAAATCTAGGGATTACTTTGGTGAACATATAATTGTTATCATCCTAGAAAACCATTGAAAATCAAGAAACAGTGGATAGCTGTTTCATACTGATATTATGACACCTTAGTTAACATCAGTCTGTAATATAAACTATGAAGTTCAACTATCTTCACAAACCCCTTATAGTGTTATAGTGTTATCGTTAAAAGCAGTATATTGTAACTAAAGGATAAATTAAACAATAAGCAACAAACAAACCAAAGGCATAACAACACTGAATTCTAATGTTTGAAATAAAAATAATTCTATATTTTATTCATAATTTATTTGTTAATTTTTGAATTTGTAATTTTAGGGTTGGGCAATGGTTAGTCAAGTGGCCTCAGTTGCTGCTAAATGTACCAGTCAATTAGCATCTCAAGCAACACAAAAAACCAAAGAATTAACTCAATCCGTCCAGGAAAAAGTGAGTTATATATTAAAGTCACAAAAAAAACTATACTGAAAAGGTCTCATAAAATTATATTGTTTTATGCATAATAATAATAATAACAATAATATGGTTTCATAGTTTACAATACACAGTACACACACACTCACACCCGTACGCAAGTAACACATTAAAATGAATTTGATCGACATTATACATAAATATTTTTTCTTTGATACTTTTTAACTTCCCAATTGTAACCTGTAGTCTGGTTTGTTTATTGTACATTTCATATTCTGTATTGTTGTTATTGCTTAAGTTTTTTTTCTTGATTTTTGTTGTTGTTGTTGTCGTCGTCGTCATATTTCCATGTATCACTCATTTAATACTGGGATAAAAAATTAATATCACAGATTGAAATTATGAGTCAATTGAAGCCAGACCACTATGGAAAACCTGGAAGCACTGGACGGTCGTTTCGCGCCTGGCGCGAGACTGATATGTCCTGGGTTCGAATCTCGCAGGGGGCGAGGTCGTGGGTGCGCGCTGCTGAGGAGTCCCGCAATAGGACGAAATGGCCGTCCAGTGCTTCCAGGTTTTTCATGGTGGTCCATCTTCAATTGACTCATGATTTCAATCTGTGAAATTTCTAAAATCTCCACAAACCCCTTCTGATAAAAAATTAATCACCAAAATACCTACAAATAATGTATATTATGTAATAAATCTATCTCATCACTTCTTAGTTGAATTATTAAATATAAGATTTATGTAATTAACATTGAACAATACACATTTCAATATTTGTCCAGGGGAAAATAAACCAAGCAAAGAAATAATAATAATAATAATAGTTTAGTTAAGTTGTCCTTTTCTGGTATAAGGCATCAAGTTGTAGATCTATAGTCACTGAATGTAAATTTACCATACTATCTGACTGTTTAAACTTTAGTTATAAAATTAAAATCTGTGTTACAACGATTAAATTTCAAGTGTATAAATGATTGAGCTACAAGTGATACGTACTAGTTTGTACATTGTGGATTATCTTTTATGAAAAAACAAATGTTTGTTTGTCAATTTGTGTATAACAGTTTTATGTAATAATATTTTATGAAAGAGTAAATAACTTGTTCTAAGATTCAAATGTTTTTCTTTTTCGTCTATTAAATTAATTATTTAAGGTGTACTATTGTCCACACTGCCTTCTCATGGTGGGGGTGTTGTTTAGAAAATTGAGGGGGCGAAAAGCAAATGTCCGGAGCTTTAACCGGCCGGTGGATATGGAGGATCCACCTGGCCGTTCCAAACCACTGGTGAACATGGGCTCCAGGATCTTAAAAGGACAAATGGCGTATTAACCTATTGTTTGTCACCGGTTACCATGGGACTGCATCCCCTAACGCTGCTCGACTGCCTTGTGGATTAGACCTTCAGGCCAAAGGTTCGGTGAGTGGCCCCCTAAGGAAACCACCTGCTTCGGTTTGAACACCTGGGCAATATCACAGCCTTCAAACAAATCAGTGATAACTACTACCGGCCTTATTGTTGCTGTATGGTGCATATGTATTTGGTGTCTCGTTGTACCAATGTTTATGTGTTTAAATAAATAAAATAACTCTTGTTCAACTACCTTGATACAAAAGCGTACATTTCCAAGTGCCTTTATGTACTCAAATGTTTATATTTGGTTACTTGCTAAATCCTACTTTCAAAACTAATTTGAAATAATAACCACAGGGAAATAATGCAGACTGAATAAGTTGAATATCAAAACTACTGGTGTTTTTGAATGTTTTAATAACACTTGTCGTTATTGTAATTGTTGTCGTCGTCACCGTCTTTGTCAAACAATCAATGTTGTCCATTTCTTGTTGAATTTTTTATATTTAAAAAAAGGTTAAAGATAGCAATATTTTGGATTCATTATCAAAAGGTGTTGATACTGTTACCTCAAAGGTTAGTAAGTAGTCTGTTTTTATTAATATGCATGTGTTCTAAGGTCAGGATATATGTGTGTATGATTTTATTATTGTGGTCACTTTTAGGCCATAAAGTTGTATGCTGCATGATAACTTGAAAATTGCCTTTACAATTGAGCTAAAAACTTGATTGTATGCCTCTGCGTTAATCATAGGTCGATAATTTTAACTACTCATTGTAAAAATAGAGTAAATTTGTGCCCCCTTTTTCACAGTTGAAATCATAAACTTTTCTTAGCTAGATCACCACTCAAATCCTAAAAGCATTAGATAACCATTTTGCCCTAGTGTGGGGCTCCTCAGCAGTAGACGTCCACGACTCTGCGACCGTTAATTAAACCTAAGACCTTCAGTCTTGTGCGCAAGTGCTTAATCTCTATACTTTTTTGTTGTTTAAAATTGCGTGATCTGTCAAACGATTAAAAGTGAACAGACTAAATAGAATGAAGTTATTATTCAGTATTTTTCGTAGTTCATGCTATTAAGTGTTATTCAATCATACCTAAATGCTGATATATACATAAAACTGTAAGTTTTACCTGTTGTAAAAAGACTAATTTAAGTGGTAAAACACTTAAAATGTACTAAAAAAACCAATCAGTTTCAAGATAGCAACTTTTAATTGTTCGCACGAAATCGAAATCAAAGAAACACGATGACAGCTAGTTTGTAGCCTATTAAGGTTAAGTAAAATTACTTCTATTTAGTTCTTAAAACTTCTAAAGTATCTGATGTACAACCATTTAGTAAATATGATGTCGATTGAAAGCCAAGTCAAGGGAAACATTTACTCCGGTTGTCGATATTATTCAAAATGATCATTACTAGGACGTAATTAATTTGTTTCAGTGAATTGTCAAGTGCTTATAGAATTACCTTATGTCCCCTGTTCATTGTGACCTAAACGACAAAGAAAATTTATTGATGTGTAGTATAGGTAATCAATGGCTGTTGCAGTTAGGGACATTACCATTGAGCTATTAGGACCATTAACCATATTGTTAGTGGAGGGAGGAATTGATCAAAGCATTTTAATTTTGAAAATTCTAGCCCGTTCGACCGAGTGCAAATTTTGTAAGCAGGAACTAGTTCAAGGATCTTTCTGTAATAACGGAAGTGATTGACGGCAATGCGCATTATAAAATTCTTAATGCGACCTCAATCATGTTTTTTACGAAAAGTTTTATTGATTTGTCTATCGTCAATAAGTTTCTTTTCTTCAAATATTTCATTAGATCCAGGCTAATTATGTTATAATTTTAATATAAATAATTATTTTATACACTTTTCTAGTTGCAAACAGTGAAAGCGCAAGGAATTCGAAGTTTTGAATCATATTGGACCAGCAATCCTGAATCAGATCTGTCTACCGGAAATTTTGACAAATCATATGGGTCTACTCTCTTCAAGTAGGTTTTAACAATCTAATTCATGTATGTACAGTCGAATGTGAATGTCATCACTTAAAAGCATAGATTAGTGTGGATACCATCGATCTATTCTGAGTAAAATTAAGAGTGTATCACATTAACATGTAATTTACTATTTGAAAGTAGTTGCTGGATTTGTTATGAAAATCATTCATACAATCACAATCAATATAGAATCTGACACATGTACATCGGTTCAAGTTGTCATACCAATATTATAAAGCAAAATTATGAAAACAAATACCAGATTAGTAACAATAACAGTACCAGTGGCAGTAGAAAAAATTATTCGGACGGAAAGAATAAATTTGCAGTATAAAAAGTTTAAGTATTTTAAGGCAGAGTGAATGCATCTGTGACATTGTGATTGGTTTTGTGTTATACCATTCAATTTTTCCAACGATCGATCGCGATGATGTGAACCTCAATCAGGTAGTCTATATGTATCAACACAGCTCAATCTAACAGTCAATATCTTTGTGGGGTGGTGTCACCTTCTGACCATCTTTTACTCTTTCAACCCCACTGATTATCTATTACAAACACCCAGCAAACAACTACTTAGTTATAATTTTTATTGATTTCACGAACCGATTTAATTTAGACAACTGTTAGAAACTTGGAAGCACTAGACTACAGTTTCGTTTTAGTATGAGACTTAGCAGTGAACCTTTACTACCCTACAACAATAAATCGAACCCAGAACCTTCAATCTCACGTGCAAACGCTTAACCTCAAGATCACTGAACCGACATCCAATGGTGTACAAGTCTAATTTTTATCGGTTACTGACTTCACTAAAATTCAACAGTCTCCACTATTTAGTTCTAAGTTGAATTTTACATTATATCTACTCCATTATATTTTACTGTTATCATAAATATGATAGAAGTATACAAGTTTCAGTCTAAAACATCAATATCTACCTGTTTAGTGCATTAAAGTGAGTAAGGTAATAGATTGTTGATTCAGACGTTTAAATTTCTATTATTTAATAGTTAAGTGGTTTATAATTCCCTAGAACATTATGTAATTATAGGAGACTGTTTGACTGTATTATTTAATACTGGCTATTATTTTCTTCAAGACTTAGTGTATGTATAGGTTTCGCAGTGTTTCTATCAATATCGATTTGGTATGAATATATGTGTCGGATCATCTTCATTCTATAACTAATAACTAATTTGTTGATAGCCATTGACGGTGGAGATCAGACAATATTACTTTTTAATGTTAAGAAGATATTTCTCACGATGTACTAAGATCAGTTGAACGCATAGCTTTCACGTTTCTCCAATAAATCAAACATCTGTAAAGACCACTGCTGAACGATTTATCGTTGCTAATCTTTAATAATAAGAATTATTTTCAAAATAATCTTTAATCCTCTGATAAAATCAAATATCCGTATGATCGTCTTATAATATAATTCATAGATATTGACAATAAAAATTGGTTAAATCATTTTAATTTCATTGGTTGAGATCATGAGTCAATTGAATCTAGACCATCATGGAAAACCTGGAAGCACTGGATGGCCGCTTTGTCCTATTGTGGGGCTCCTCAGCAGTACGCGTCCATCAGCCCACCTCGCGAGATCCGAACCCAGGACATATCAGTCTCGCGCGCGAGCACTTAACCACTAGACCACTGAGCCGGCATCCAGCGGTGTTAATATCTAACTTCAACCAATCCACGAAATTGAGTGACACATCCACCATTGTCTTCAGTGAGTTACTATCTCACAACTGACCCGGTTGAACTCCATTGGTCACTGCTTCTTACTAGAACTCCAGGAAATACCTCTTGAAGCGGGTTACTAATGAGCATATGTTGATTAATATCGTGGATCTCAACTATTGAAATTACTATAATATCCACGAAAGCCTCTTCTGATATGAATCATTTTAACTTCAGGAAAACTTATTTAACAAGAATCAAGACATTTTCAGCGAAGTAAATTTTCTTCTTGATAGTACTGTTTTTTGAATATGTAGAATAGTATTTATAGGTAGTTTTTCCCACTTGTACTAGTTTGTAGTAAAATAGTGGTTTTTTTAGGGGAGACCCAGTAAATTCCTCGAAAAAAGCTCAAAGGGGGCCTTGAAAACTCTGGTACACATTTTATACAATCAACATTCAATAACAGTTTCTCAGAAAGATTTAGAAAGTGAAAAGTCACGTGTCACGTTTCTGATTGGACGATTACTTATTCTGCTACTATGTTTAGAAGGGGTTCCAAAAGCCTAAGGCCATCTGAAATGCTATAAATACCCTAGATTTTCTGTATATAAATTAACCTTGAAGTAAAGCGTTCTTCCCATATTTCACACTTTTTCTCTTGTGTTCAAGTTGCATTGTAGATTTAGCCTGGTGGTCACTAGAAGAGCTTAGGAAACCGAATCAAGCGTTCGATTAAAAGATTTATCAGGTTTTACAAAATTAATTAATTAATTATGTAATAGTTTTTATAAGTAGTAAAAAGTAATAATCTATGAGATATAAGGGAAACGAAGAGAAGAAGCTATTACTTAGCATTTATAATTTGTAAAATTTCAGAGAGCGACTAAAACCATTGTAGTAGAATTGATTGGATTCAAACAGTTTATCTGCTTCAACTGAATAATCACACTAATGAAGTTAAATCGATTGTGCATAATACTACTACTGGTTGTATTACCTAAGTGACTAATGTAACTTATTACTATTGATGATGTATAATTATTGATGAATTCCAGTGGTTTACTTTCGAATTAGCTTGTTTACATAGTTATTCGTCTTATTTTGTTTCATATATTCAATTTTCCTTGGTTTATATCCTGGTGTGGATTATAGGCTTGTACTGTTGTAAAGAGTCCAAAGTTTAAGACGTGGCAACTTTCTTCAATCTTATTTAGTCTTCGATAGTTCAATTTCTTTATATCCGTTGAATATGAACATTATATTATTGAATCCATTAATAATATGTTCTCTCTTGAACTAATAGCACATGTCTATGAACAATAACTGAAAATCCTTACTCTTTACTGATCTAAACAGCTTTTTTTTAATCCCCAGTAAACAATCAGGATATGAAGATGTCAATTACACTTACCTTCCAGTGTTGTGTAGTTGTCATGAAATCAAAGCTCAAAGAATTACATAGATCAATTACTTGTTCACAATATGTCACAAATAAGGTATCATAATTTGTACACAACTAAATCACATTATACTATAAAACTAAGAAATAAGTGTACAATTAATTAATAATTTTAAACATTAAAGCGTATTACAATAGTTCATGAATGAAATGAAACCTTATAATAAAAGTAATATAAAAATACCAGGATTCAAGTATTTAATAAATAGACGCCTATATATATCTTCATGAACGATTTCTGTAAGTTCCATTTTACCCAATTATTCTCTCTCCTCACTTCCTTCAAATGTAATAAGTCCTCCAATTAATATCGATCAGTGAATTAGATTGACGCCAATTGATCGACATAAATATCTTGATCAAGAATTGTTGATTTATTTGAATTCTTATATTTCTTTTATTCATTCTCTGCTAGTAATCGTGAACAAGATCGTCCCAGTTCAATGTTTCTTGATCAACACCTACAACATGGAACCGATTCGTTTAATAGAAGTGAAGGAAAAGGTAATACTTTTTTGTTCACATTCAAAATTAAGAATGTTTCGTGTGCAACTGTGTGTTATAGACGAGGTTTTTGACAACTATTGAAACGGGATTTCAGTTGATAAATTCGCTGTGTAGAGTGGTTATTTATAGATGAACACAATGATATGATGTGTGGCCAAGTGATGGTTAGTTACGAGACTGTATTATTGACAGAATTCGCCGAATAATTAGGGATGACTGACAAGACTACTAGTTGGATGAATATATTTTCTATGTGATATATTAATGTAGTTATATTTGGAGTGTGAACAGAAAATAAAAATGGTAGAATGTAATGGGGAATCGGAGTAAATTAGCCTGTAGGTCACTGGCCCGGGGACGTGACTCTAGATTTCAAGGGACGATTTCTCATGGCCGATAACACGACCTTTTCATGACAAGTTTGTAATGTGTGTTAGCTACGCACTTCAAACTGTCTTATTATCAGAGAAAAACCTCTATGGTAAGGTGAGGTTTAACATTTCCGCCTCCTTCCTTCTATTGTGAGAAAGCTTCATCGTCGCAGATTCCTGTTGTCTATCGAAAACACCTTAATTCTGTCACACCCCTGTACAGTCAGCAGTATGAACTCACTCTCGAACCTTTAGTTTGTAATTTTAGTTTTACCGATCTCCAACCGACCTGCCTGGAATAGTAGGATCCTAAAAGAACAAGTGTTCCAGTTAGTCTATCTCGATTGGTTGATCACAATAGGCAAACCCGACTATCACTTCAAGGTAGCAGCTGCTGTCAGCTACAACCATAGCGTTTTATTCGTATTCCTCCTAACATACGCAATTAAAGAAAAAGAGGAAATGGGTGGTTTCACAGAAGAGCTTTTGGTATCTCCGAACGATGCGAAAACAAGATTCAACTATTTCATACCCGACTATTTCTATCTGTCATCGCACAACCATAACCGCGTAATCCCAGCTTTTTGCTGTTGCCAAGACCATATATATTTTTTACAGAGACTTCATCATTACATACACTTAGGGACCTATTTTGCATGGAGTTGCCTTACCAACTTTTGTCAACTTATGTCATACTTGCAAGAGATTGGATTACTTGAATTTTCAGTGTTAGTTATTGATAATATTAATACTTGTTAATTATTCCAAATGACAGTTTATTGTGTTTGATGTGAAAGATAATTGTATAGGATCAACTGGAAGATATTGTACTGTGTACTTCGATTATTACTTAACATTTCTATCAGTATATGGGTTGTGTAAATTTATAAATAAATAAAGTAGTATATCCATTAGTTTAAAGATTTTGACTAATAATAATTACAATAGACCTGCTTGAACTCTACTGGTAACGGCTTCTCACTAGAACTCCAGGAGTATCTCTTGAAGTCAGTCACTACTAGTGAGCAGATGATTATTATCAGAAGGTGTTTTGTGGAGATTTTTTTGCAAATTTCAATAGTTGAAATCATGAGTCAATTGAAGCTAGACCACCATGAGAAACATGGAAGCACTGGACGGCCGTTTCGTCCTAGTATGGGACTCCTCAGTGGCAGTGCGCATCCACGATCCCGCACTCCTCGAGATTCGAACCCAGGACCTATATTTATAATCGACAAAATTTCATGAAAAAAGAATGCAAACGGGTTTATTTGACTTTCAATAGCTCACTCCATCTATGATCCAAGCAATATATTAGACTATATGTTAAAGGGTATGCACTGCTCACCAGTGCATTATATTACTTAGCGAGTGGAAAAGATCCGTATGTCTTTCATTATTGTTTTTTTAAAGATCATCTTGTAATGTATGCATGGATGTGCATGATTGATTAATCAGCATTCTAATGGGTACTTTTTGCCTTATATGTAGTTCTTTAAGAAATGCAGCGTGAGATTATAACTACTGTATTTAATGATTTTCGGACTAGGTTGACCTTATCTCACTCAAAATATACCTTATTTGTGAGAAGCACACTTGAGCCATCTTCGTTTCCATTGTTTTAAACATCTCCCCCTACTATAAATCCTCAAAAATCAGACTCATCAGTTACCTTGCCATTTTACATCTTGTCGTCTTCTATATCGTTACTTAGTTTTTTAGTAAAATGTCTTCTTGCGGCAGCCTTTCATCATATACCACGCGAAAGGCTGCTCATACGCTTAAAAACCTCAATATAGAAGGCAGTATTCGTTGTTTGTTCCTTAGGAATAGATTCATGGTGAACTCTGTCATAAATGTCAAAAACGATAAGTAGCATTACCTTACTTGTTTATAGTATTTTTAATGTTTGAGTTTCATATATTGTTTTCCATTCTTTGTTCTATGTCTTCAATTCAATGTTTAATTAGATCCAATAGTTAGTATTTCATATAGATCAGTCCATGCATTTATTAGATAAACTATGTAAGTTATTTGAAATAGGTTACCTTAAAAAGAATAATCATTTAAACAAACAAATATCCTTCATATTATTGTTTAGGGGCTTCATTGTCGAATACCAATTGGAATAACAATGAAACCTGTGATTGGGATTTAAGCAATGATCATGGATGGGGATCAATTGATGATAATGGTTGGTCTACTACAACTGCTAGTGGTGGTAATTCTAGGACAACACTAACTAATGAATCAGTTGTACAACGTGATTCCAAACTTGAAAACAATGGTTACAATCGAAGAAGCCGTAAAAATTCTTAAATTCAATTACTTGATAATTTAAATTCTCCCAATCTTTTTTTTGTTTTTGTTTTGTTTGGAAGTGTGATCAAGGTCATTTATCTTATCTTGTTTGCCCACTGTACCTATTCATTTCTTGGCTCTTTTTTTGCTTGAATAAAAATTGTTTTTCCCCCTATTCTTTCTTTAATTCGAAATAATGTGTAATTTATTTTCAATCTGAAGAAATCTTTTTCATTTACTATATCTATCTATCTATCTATCTATCTTGATTTCGCTATGTAATCTTTATATAGTAGGAATTAAAGATGCACACATCTATAAATTATAATCACTTGTAATGGTAACTAAGCCAATGATCTTTCTCTCTTTGATTTCTTATCTTTTTTTGTTTTAAACCCATTTGGCGTTTTGTACGATATTAGTATCACTAATTCAGTAGTAGTACTGTGTTTGGTATGAGTAATATATAGTATGAAACGTTTGCACGGTTTAAGTAAAAAATCATCTTTTATGTGGTTACGTTTGTTGTTTTTTTTACAGACAGATGTGACTTATTCAATATATTCGCTTGTTCAATTTTTGTTTGTGTTACTCTGATTCAATTATTCAGTAATTAGGCTTTTAATTTATGAATGGTGAATTTAAATGTTGTTCAATGACTTACTTCTATGAAGATGGCCCGTAGTAACAACTGGGGTGGTGTCTTTGTTTAGCAATTTCAACACATGGATCGGTGATTTATTACCGATGTAATTAACTTTTAATGATTAGATTTTAAGTTCAGATCTACCTTATTTCTGTGGATAATGTCAATAGGTCTCACATAGAACAGTGCAGTTTAAATTTGAATAGATGGATTTGTGAACTATTGATGAATTTGTAAAAGTCCTGAGTCTTGTGCGAAATTGTTTTGGGAATATTTTGTTTACTAATGAGTAGTTTATCACTTTTATTTAAAATCATCATATCCACTAGTTACAGTCGTAATTTCATGCGTAGAATGTTTCTCTGTGTTGGATGTTTACATAGATACAAAGCAATGCTACCGGGATTTCCTTCATAGCGAATTTCTATATTTTCTCAACTGTATGTTCTTCCACGGTTTTGTGGATGCATTGAAATAAGCAACAGCATATCGTGTCTTGCCACCTTCAGTCTGCGTCTGCGTGTACGTAGGTAAAGGGATCATTTACTTTGTTTAATATATTGTTTCTCGCAGTTAGTACAATTTGTTCTGTAGGTTGCTCATGTTGTTCTATATAACTTGGCTTCCTGTATACTTGTGATTCTTATACTTATGTGTTTAATTTACAGATTAATAAATCCGAGAATGGGATCTCATTTCTCTATTCTTCTTTTGTAAAGTTGCGGTCATCAAATATGTTACTGTCCAACTTATTAGTGATTCCAATTTAAACTCTTCAGAAGTGCCGTGAAGACTTTAAGTTATCTAGTTTCTCTTTTAAAAAGTTTAGTCTTCATGTGTTAGGGCAACTGAAATAGCCCCTAATCTTGATTTCCCCAGTGACTTTCAGTTATATAATTGATTGTTTTTGCTTCTAGTTTACTACTTTTGTGATGTGCCTGAAAAGCACTCTTGTTGCTGTACGGACAGTGTTATTTCATCACAATTTTGACTTCTGTTGCTGATGTGATAACCATCCTGAAAGCTCAGTCTTCTCCTATTCGTGTGGGAATTATTAATTTTGAAGTGTTGTAGCGTATTTGTCGCCCGGTCTTTCTAGTTCACACAGGTCTCATTTGTCTTGTAAGAATTTTCCAGTCATTTGTAATTTCAGGATTATCGTACTTTAGCCTACTTCAAAAGAAAAACAGGAGGATAACAAATATGTTATTTACAGAACACATCCAAATCTTTAATTAAATGTTAGACGGAACTGTAACTTCGTCCTAGCTTTGTCGTTCCTATTATTTCATGATACAGATAAATCGATTGCAGCTCCTTCGTATTTTTTATAAGTCCAACAGTTAGATTGAATATATGTTGCTAGGTGATAGTTCACTTCCATTATAGAATGGAAACAGCTTGTTAGTATCCCTTAAAACTAATTAGTTAAGCTTCAAAAACCAATTCTACGCTTTCGTATTCTCAAAGCCAGATTCATGAGTCGATCTAAGCCAAACCACCATTGAAAATCTGGAATCTCGAGACGACAGTTCCATCCCAGTATGGAATTACTCATCGGCGCGCATCTACGATCCCGCACGAGGGATTCGAGTCCAGGACCTTCAGTCTCGTGTGCGAACACTTAAAGATCAATCAATCCATGATCTTGCGAGACCCTTCGTACCCGTCAGTCGTGTATACAATTGTACAGAATCAGTAAATTAATATCGTCGGAATGATTTATTTCCTCTTAAATGTATTTCTCCCTTAATGATGTGTATTGAGTTTCTTTCATTGTAATTTGTTATCCACTATTTAATGATGAACTCATATACAGAGTTATGACTTATCTCTGATTATTTGAAGGTGGTCTTAATGACCTGAAAGCGTGACCTCAGTGCCCAAGGAACAACTAATTGAGGTCGGTCACACACGACCATTTTGTGAGTAATTTTCGTGTTAGCTACGACCACCACGTCAAGGTAGCAACTTAATGTAAGTAAAGAAGAGACAAATAGTTAGATGTAGATCTCATTTGATATGAAAAATACATTTACAACTTACTAACTATCTTGATTTATTATGTTTTGATTAATAGTTAAATTCGTATAAACTAAGAAACTTACTTAAAATCATCATACTGATATCAATTAATCAAATATTGTAAATTGAATTATGCATTCTGATACACTTGATTTTTTACCAAACACCAATTACATTTTGATAAATGACATCATTGCATTTTTGTTGATCCTCTTTAGCAATTCTCGTTTAACCAGAAGTTAATTTGTGTACTAGGAGAATACTCAGAATAGCATTAGTGAGGAGAATTGAATAAGAGAAAAGATTAACACATGACCTAGAAAACTTACAAAATACACTTACATTTAATATGGAAAGGAACAGATAACAATCAACAGTAACGTAATATTGAGATTAAAACAATCTGGAAATCTAAACTCGGTGCGCCCCCAAATGCCATGGTACTGCCGAGAGTGGGTAGAGTCAGCTCTCCCTCTCCAAATGCCCTCACATGGCCACGCGTATACAGCCACTGTCAAGGAAGTCCTACTCACTGCCTTCTCGTGGCGGGGGTGTTGTTTATGAAATTGAGACGATGGAAAGCGAATGTCCGGCACTTTAACCAAGTTGGTTGATATGGAGGATCCCAATGAGGGGAGTTACGTAGGAGAGTTGGAAATTCATATTTCCAAATCAACAGTGTACATGGGCTCGAGGATCCTGAAAGAACAAATGACGTATGAACCGATTATTGATCGACGGCTACCATGAGACTGTATCTTCTGATGTAGTTCCACTGCCTTGTGGATTAGACTATTAGGGCTCCCAAATGCCCTGGTACGGCTGAGAGTGGGTAAACTCAGCTCTCCCTCTCCAAATGCTCTCACATGGCCACTCATATATAGCCTCTGTCAGGTAAGTCCTACTCACTGCCTTCTCGTGGCGAGGGTGTTGTTTATGAAATTGAGAGGACGGAAAGCGAATGTCCGGCGCTTTAACTGGGTCGGTGGATATGGAGAGTCTACCTAGGGGAGTTGGAAAATCCTCATTCCAAACCAATGGTACACATGGGCTCCAGGATCCTGATGGAACAAATGACGTATGAACCAATCTTTAAACGCCGACTACCATGAGACTGCATCTCCTTATGATGCTCCACTGCCTCATGGATCAGACCTTCAGGTCAAAGGCTCTGGGGGGGGGCGTCCTAAGAAAACCACCTACTTCGGTTTGAGCACCCGGTCAGTATCATAGCCCTCACGCATATAAAGTGAGATATGTGTGGCTCATATGCATTTGGTTCCTCCTTGTACCAATATCTGTGTGTTAAAATAAATAATGAATAAATAAGACTATTAGGTCAAAGGCTCGGGGCTCGGTCCTTAAGAAAACTGCGTGTTTCGATTTGGGAACCAGGGCAGTATTCCAGCTTTCACATAAATCAAATGATTTATGTGTCGCATATCTGCTTGGTGCCTCCTTGTCCCAATGCTTATGTGTTTAAATAAATAAATAGAAACGATACAGATAGTGTAGAGTTTCTAACCCGTTACATCTCTTTCAGTTATAAAAAATGATTATAATTCAAATTTTGAAGAAACAATTAATTTTAATGGTAATTAAAACGAAACGATCCATTTAAAAAAATCAGGTAGGAGAAATAAATCTAATTTCATGTTTTCAACCCATTTGTATTCAAAGTTTATTTCCAAATGTGAGACTGATAGGTTCAGGGTTCGAATTTCGGGTGGCGGGGTCGTGGATGCGCACTGCTGAGGAGTCCCACAATAGGACGAAACGGTCATTCAGTGCATCCAGGTTTTCCATGGTGGTCTTGCTTGAATCGGCTGATGATCTCAACTATTGATTTCAATTTATTGTACTAAATTTTTTAATATTTACTAAGTAAATCCATGAGCTCAAGCCAGAACTGTGCGTACAAAAGAACTACGTCCTATTCTTATCGTTAACTTGGCCTTAATTATTATTATTATTTTCATTATTACTGCATTCTCCCTTTTACTTATATCTCATATTCCCATTATTTTATTCATAAGTAGTTATATCACTTTATTTTTTTTTACACTTCTATGACCTTTGATGACCTTTAATTATTGTAAGAAAAACATTTTATCAGTATAGGGGTGGTGGAGATCAATAGGTTTTTGATTGAGATCATGAACTGATTGATGTTAGACTACCATTGAAAACCTGGAAGCACAGGACGGCCGTTTCGTCCTATTGTGGAACTCCTCGGCAGTGCGCATCCACGATCCCGCTCGTAGGATTCGAACACCCAGAGCCTTCAGTCTCGCGTACGAATGCTTCCAGGTTTTCAATGGTGGTCTAATATCAATTGGTTCATGATCTCAATCAAAAACATCTTAGTCATTTTACTACATTCACGTTATAATTCGTTACTAACTTAGTTAGTCTATTGTTATCAACCATATTACGCAGTCTAGCGTTGTAATCTTTCGATTGCATCATTGTGGTTACTCCTTGTTCATATGTCCTCACGGAACAAGTACTTTAAAGAAAAAGAATTTTCATTTATATACGATTGTACAGCTTGATAATAAATTCGTTGAAAAGAGATCCTTTCACTGTACTTCGTGTTTTTAAATGAATGTTTAACTGTTATATCCCGACGAGAATAGTGGAGAACTATTTATGAACCAATACGATACATATATTTTTATTGTGTAAATTGTTAAGTAAGTAACTTATGTATATTCATGTTCCTCTTATTATAAGCATTTTTAACCTATAGACTATTATTATTACAATTTGCCATTCTTAAGTTATGCCCCAATCAATTAATTACAGTCTCTCACATTCACAGCCACTTTTTGACTAAATCTTATACAAATGTTGTTTCCTATTTTATAGTACGATGTGGTCTGTTTGATTTTTGTATATCAACAAAGTATGTTTACAATACATGATACATATCACAGAAGTTGAGATTAGTGTTCTGAACTCAACAGGCAGGTCTAGATAAGGATACGGACTGATAAGAACTCTAAACTGTTCGTATGGGTTT